CCTGAAGCACATAACTACTGAGTCTGGTAGAACAGTAGCTCAGAGACCATCGGGATTAGTTAGAACACTGACTCAGACGGTCCAGTATGCAGAGAGGGCAAACAGAAAGCTGCATTTCCCTGTCAGATGAGTTCACGTAAGAAAACCAAGGAGGTGCTAAGAAAATACAGACAGTGGCTGCTCAAAATAATTAAGAAGGCATTCTAAATACCACACATTATTAGACAACAGTGTGTAAAGTGATGCAATTAGAAAACAGGCAACTTAAAAAAAATATGGTCACAGGTCTTTGAGAACTCAAGAAAACAATCAATAGCAAACACAAGAGCTGAAAGTCTTCTCAGCTGAGGGTTGAAAGTGAAAGTGAAAGTGAAGTCGCTCAGTCATACCCGACTCTTTGTTGACCCCGTGGACTGTAGCCCACCAGGCTCCTCCGTCCATGGGATTCTCCAGGCAAGAATACTGGAGTGGGTTGCCATTTCCTTCTCCAATCTGATCACTTCTTACCACCTCCCTTGTCTAAGCCATCTGTATTAGTTTCCTGTGGCTCCTATAACAAATTACCAGAAACTTGGAGTCTTAAAAAGACAGTGCATATTTATTCTCTCACAGCTCTGAAGGTAAGATGTCTGAAACCAGTTTCACTGGGCTGAAATCAAGGTGTTAGCTGCAGAGCTGCAGTCCTTCTAGACGTCTTAGGGGAGTCTGTTCCCCACCTCTTCCAGCTTCTGGTGACTGCTGGCATTCCTTGGCTTGAGGTGGTGTGTCTTCAGTTTTCAGGGCCGGCATTTTCAAATGTCTCTCTGCACATCTTCTCCTCTGTTTGTCCCATCTCTGCCTGCCTCTTTTATAAAGAAATTGCATTTAAGACTCACCCAGATAATCCAGGATAACTGCTCCATCTCAAGATCTTTGGCTTAATCATGGCTGCAAAGATCACCCCCTTTTCTGACATACAAGTTCCAGGGTTAGGATATGAAGGATGTGGATATCTCTTATGGTACCATTTTCAGTCTACCGCATTCTGCCCTTTGAACCTCAAAGGTTCATATTAGTCCCAGAAGCAAAATACATTCATCCCATTTTGACATTCCAGAGTCTCAGCCCATTGCAGCATCAAGTCCAGAATCTCATCTAAATATCATCAGCTCAAAAGTGCAAAATTTCATCATCTAAATCAGGTAGAGGTAAGACTCTGGGTGTGATCCATCTTGGGGAAAAATTTCTATCTGTGGGCCTGGGAAACTAGAAAACAAGTTATGTGTTCCCAAAATACAGTGGTGGGACATGCAAAATATGACTGTCACAGACATTCCCAAATCCAAAAAGGAGGAGATACAAGGAATAAGTGTGTCACTGATTCCAGGCAGTTTCAGAATTCAGCAGGGAAAATTCCTCAGGTTGCAAAGCCTGGAAGTAATCTTTTGTGGCTAGGGACCCTGCCCTCTGGGCCTGTGGCTCTGGCTTCTGGACCCAAGGCTCAGTTCTTAGAATTATCCTTACTTTTTCTTGAAGGGTAGGTAGTGTATGTTTTCTGCTGAGTAGTTTTATTAGTAGTTAAATTGCCTGTAGAATTTTGGTAGTCCAACAGTCTTTCTTTACTTTATTCTCTTTCTGCCCCTTTCAGGCCAAGCTGGCAGTGTTTCTGCTGATAAAACATTCTCAGAAACCTTTTGAGTCTCCTGTGTATGTCTCAGGGATTCTTGTCATTAGACAAGAAGATCCTCCAATCTCATATTGCTTCCTAGCTTCTGCTTAGGTGGTTGGGTGAGGGATCCCTGAGTCACATGTGTAATCTTTGAGCACTAATGAAAGGTTGTCCAGACACACTCTTGGCTTTTTCTCCACAGCAGTGCTTTCTTAATAGGGTATCTCCTAATTTTAGCGTTTTTGTGATCTAGATAAGCTGAGAATTTCCCAAGTCATCATGTCCTGGTTTCTTTTAACATTTTGCCCATCTGTTTATCTTGCATTTTGCCATAAGCAACAAGAAAAAAGCAGGTTGTACCTTCAACTTTATGCTTGAAAATCTCCTTAGCTAAATACTGAAGTTCATTGCTTATCCTTGCTAAATATCCAAGTTCTCCTTTTCACACAACTCCTAGACAGAATTCATGTAAGTTTTTTTTTTTTGCCACTGTCTAAAAAGGATTATTTTTCCCTCGGTTCTTAATAATGTTCCTCATTTTCTTCTGAGCTCTCACCAGAATCACCTTTAATGTTTGTTTTTTACCAGCTTTCTGTTTATGATGATGTATGTATTCTCTTAAATGAGATACACTCTATCTGTTGTGCTTCTCACTTCCTTCTGAGTTCTTACCAGGAGTGTTTTTAACATCCATATTTCTACGAACAATCTGTTTAAGGCAATCTAGGCTCTTTAAATTAGCTTCTCAGAATCTTTCCAGCTTCCATGCAGTATCCAGTTTGAAAGACCCATTCCATATTTTAAAGAATTTGTTATTTCAGCACCCTACTTCAAGATACCAAAATCTGTATCAGTCAGCGTTCAACCAGAGAAACAGAACCAGTAGGAGATTAAGGGGTTTATTGTAAGGATTTATTCCTTACATTGTTGTGGTGGCTGGTTAGGCAACTGCAACATTCATAGGCTAGACTGTCAAGGACAGATTGGAACTCTCAGCAGAAACCAAAGTTGGTATCCACAGGTGAAATTTCTCCTTCTGAGAAACCTGCTCTTCACTTCAGTTCAGTTGCTGTTGAGTTGTGTCCGACTCTTTGCGACCCCATGAACCGCAGTACGCCAGGCCTCCCTGTCCATCACCAACTCCCGGAGTCCACCCAAACCCATGTCCATTGTGTCGGTGATGCTGTCCAACCATCTCATCCTCTGTTGTCCCCTTCTCCTCCTGCCCTCAGTCTTTCTCAGCATCACGGTCTTTTCCAATGATGCTTCTGTCTGTAAAAGTTACATAAGCCAGAAATCAGAAGGGTCATCTCTGACATAATCCTTGTATCCTCTCATCCATTCCATCATCAATTTCTATTAATCACTCTATAAATATTATCTCATTTGTCAACTTCTCATTTCTTCTACTGAAGCCACTCTAGTCCAAGCCATGCCCTTTCCAGGACCACTTCAATAAATTCTTGACTAATTTTCCTGCTTACATCCTTCCCTCTGATCATAATCATTTCTCCACACCGAAGCCCAACTTTCAAATGCAGATCTAATCATATCACCAGTCCTTGTTCCCTAGCCTTTCTCTGTCTATAGGTTCCAAGCAGATAACTTATATGAATGGAACTGGATGGGTCAGAGATTTTATATGGAATGGTAGGAACTATGGCAATTGGAGAGAAGAACGTGCCCTGTCTAGAGAGGGCAGCCAGTACTCAGTGTTGATTTATTGTTGGCATTTGGGAAATACAGGTCCAGAGTTGCTGATCTTCTGATTTTTTTCCCCAGGGGAGCCAGAAGTCTGGATTTTTTTTAATTGTGAATTTTCTCTATATTAAAATGTTGACAACCAGTTTGAATTGAAAAAATTTCTATACTTGGTAATACATTTAATGAAAAATTTAAAAAAATTTTTACATTGAAAATCACAAAATATGGCTGAGAAAAATTAAAGAAGACCCAAAAAAGTGGAGATGTACCATGTTAATGGTTTGAAAGACCCAGTTAAAAAAAAAAAAGACCCAGTGTTGTTAAACAATCCAGTAGACCCAAAATAATCTATTAAGATGCAGTGTGTTTACAAAGTAAATTCCTGAAAGCTTTTTTTTTTTGGTGTGTGTGTGGAAATTGACATGCTGAATCTAAAGTATGTGAAACTATGAAGAATTTACAACAGCCAAACTAGAAGTGGGAGAGTAAACTTAGAGGACTTAAATTACCTGATTTTAGGACTTACTGTATAACTAGAGTGATCGAGACACTGTGGTATTGGTGTAAAAAAAAAATGTTGATCATTGACCACAATAGACTCATGAAAGGGACATATGTGATCAGTTGATTTTTCAGCAAAGGCCAAAACGTAATTCAGTGGGGAAAGGATAGTCTTTTCAACAAATGTTGCTAGAACAGTTGGATGGATATTTGTATGTAAAGAAATGTCTTAATCCTTATCTGACACTATACAGAAAAATTAATTCGAAGTGACTCATAGACCTAAATATACAAACTGAAGCCATAAAATGTATAGGCAAAATTATAAGAGAAAATCTTTGTGGCCTTGAAATAGGCAAGGATTGTTTTAGGACACAGAAAGCTCTAACCAACCATAGAAGAAAAAAATTGCTAAGTCAGACCTTTATCAAAAGTAAAACTTTCTGTTCTACAAAATACATTGGAAGAAAATGAAAAGGTATATCACAGACTGGAAGGATATATTACACATACACATATGCTGCATATATATACACACACACATACGTATGACTTAAATCCAGAATATGTAAAATGTTTTAAAATTCAGTAATGTAACAAATGACCCAGTTAAAAATGAGCAGAAGTTTGAATAGACCCTTCACAGAAGAAAATATATTTGAATGTCTGAAAGCATATGAATAGGTGCCCAACATCATTAATTACCAGGGAAATAAAAATTAAAAACACAGTGAGATACTACTTCATACCCACAAGGATAGCTAAAATTTAAAAAAAAAATTTCCAAATATTGTTGAGGATTTGAAACAGCTAGGATCAATATATGTGGGTGGTGGGAGCATGAAATGGTACAACCACTTTGGAAAACAGCTGGTCAGTTTCTCCTAAAGTTAAACACATACTTGCCATGCAACCCAGCCATCCTGCACATTGGTGTTTATTAAAGAGAAATGAAACCATATTCACAAAAAGACACATTAATTTTCATAGTACCTAATAGCCAAAAAAATGGAAACAGTCTAAATGCCATCATCATCAGGTCAATAGATAAACCAACAGATAAAACAGTGGATTATCGGTTTATGCAACAATGTGAATGAATCTCAAAAACATGTTGAGTGAAAGTAAGAAATGAAAGAGAACTTACTGTATGGTTTCATTTATTGAAGTTTTAGAAGAGGTGAAACTAATTTATAGTAACGAAAATTAGGTCAGTGGTTGGCCTGGTGATGAGTGTGGAGACTGACTGCAAAATGACATGAGGGACGATGGGAATGTTTTTTCTTGTTTAGGCATGGTGACAGCACAACAGTGCACATTTGTCAAAACTCATTGAATTTCTTGGAAATGTACACTTCAAATGTGTGCATTTTATTGTGAGTAAATTATGCCTCAGAGTTTATTTAAAAAATACTGTACAGGTCAACACTCTGGACTAGACAGAAGTTATTTGCCTGCCAAATTTGGTTGAGGTCAGCCAGTTTCTAACAGCTGATCTGTACCCCCACCTACACATACACTGCAGGAGTGCCTGGCCTGTAATAGGCCTTCAAATTTCTGTTTAATGAGTTGCAGCTCCATTGTAAGAAAATACCCCATCCTTCATCCTCCTGCAGTTTTCTGACTCCAGTCATTATTATGAAGTTAATTGGTTGGGCTCTCCTGGCCAAAGTACCTTGAGGACAGATTATATATGTATATGTGTGTGTGTGTGTGTGTGTGTGTGTGTGTATGAACTACATTTGGCACAAAAGCAGACACTGGGTAAGCTCTTCTTGCTTAGAATCTGTTTCAGCTTCTATTTCTTTGTCTTGAGCATTTACACTGCCTGCAGTGCAGAAGACGCAGGTTCAATCCCTGGGTCGGGAAGATCCCCTGGAGAAGGAAATGGCAACCTACTCCAGTGTTCTTGCCTGGGAAATCCCATGGACAGAGAAGTGTGGCAGGGTACAGTCCACGGGGTCGCAAAAAAGTTGGACACCACTTAGTGACTAAACAACAAAGCAGAATTATTACATGTTTTTTCAACCAGAACTTTAAAAAGCACCAGTTATCATTCTGTTCTGATACTTAGTACCTTTCTTTGATATTGCTGCTCTGAATTCTCCAAGTAACCTTCTTCTTCCCCTCCCCTAAACTATGTCCTTGTCCATTTTAAAAGTTAGCCTGAGGCTTAACTTTACAGAACAACTTGCCTTGGTCAGTACAGCCTCAAACTTGTTTTCAGACTCTCCTCTCCCTGTGGTACCTCTTATTACTTCTCTTTCTTTTTTTCTGGCCAAGTCATGAGGTGTGCAGGATATTAGTTCCCTGACCAGGGATCAAACCCATGCTGCCTGTGCTGAGTCCTACCTCTGGACTTCAGGGAATTTCTCATTTCTCTCTCTCTTTTTTTAACTTAACATTTCTTTTTCTCACCAAGACCTTTTCTTCCTGTTGACATTGTAGTTAACTGAGGTTGGGGAGGGGTAGCTGTACTATTTTCTGTGTGTATCTAAGGTCTGTACCAAGTGGGTTTAATAACTAAAGCAAAGAATATTGACGGTACATTCTACTGTGAAGGTAAATAGCGTGCAACTCGGAGCCCATAATGGTTAGAAGTGTAGTACTTTAGATAACTGGACCTAGGTCTTTTCTCCACCTTTTCTTGGCATAAGCCCCTGGAAAGGAAGCCAGGGAGATTAAGAGTTGTCTCTATCTGATAATAGCTCAGAAACTTAAGAGGAGGCAGTTCCCACAGCAGCAATCTGAGTCCAGTAAGAGAGCTTAATGAACTGCCTGTACCTTTACAATCATAAGAGTTTGTCTCTGTGCTGAATATCAGAGGAACTAATGAAAAGAAAGTTAATAGGAATATGAGAATGAGGAAAAAAGAAGTGGGGATTGGAATTGCATAGTATGTAATCTTGATAGTTCCAGTTCCAGTTCAGTCGCTCAGTCATGTCCGACTCTTTGCGACCCCATGAACCGCAGTACGCTGGGCCTCCCTGTCCATCACCAACTCTCAGAGTTCACCCAAACCCATGTCCATTGAGTCAGTGATGCCATCCAGCCATCTCATCCTCTGTCATCCCCTTCTCCTCTTGCCCTCAATCTTTCCCAGTATCAGGGTCTTTTCCAAGGAGTCAGCTCTTCCCATCAGGTGGCCAAAGTATTGGAGTTTCAGCTTCAGCGTCAGTCCTTGCAATGAATATTCAGGACTGATTTCCTTTAGGATGGACTGGTTGTATCTTCTTGCAGTCCAAGGGACTCACAAAAGTCTTCTCCAACACCACAGTTCAAAAGCGTCAATTCTTTGGCGCTCAGCTTTCTTTATAGTCCAACTCTCACATCCATACATGACGACTGGAAAAACCATAACCTTGACTAGATGGACCTTTGTTGGCAAAGGAACGTCTCTGCTTTTCAGTATGCTATCTAGGTTGGTCATAACTTTCCTTCCAAGGAGTAAGCATCTTTTAATTTCATGGCTGCAATCACCATCTGCAGTGATTTTGGAGCCCAGAAAAATTAAGTCAGCCACTGTTTCCATTGTTTCCCCATCTATGTACCTGAAGTGATGGGACCAGATGCCATGATCTTAGTTTTCTGTTGAGCTTTAAGCCAGCTTTTTCACTCTCCTCTTTCACTTTCATCAAGAGGCTCTTTAGTTCCTCTTCACTTTCTGCCATAAGGTTGGTGTCATCTGCATATCTGAGGTTATTGATATTTCTCCCGGCAATCTTGATTCCATCCTGTGCTTCCTCCAGCCCAGCGTTTCTCATGATGTCCTCTGCATAGAAGTTAAATAAGCAGGGTGACAATATACAGCCTTGACATACTCCTTTTCCTGTTTGGAACCAGTCTGTTGTTCCATGTCCAGTTCAAACTGTTGCTTTGTGACCTGCTTACAGGTTTCTCAGGAGGCAGATCAGGTGGTCTGGTAGTCCCATCTCTTTCAGAATTTTTCACAGTTTATTGTGATCCACACAGTCAAAGGCTTGCATGGTCAATAAAGCAGAAATAGATGTTTTTCTGGAACTCTCTTGCTTTTTTGATGATCCAGTGGATGTTGGCAATTTAATCTCTGGTTCCTCTGCCTTTTCTAAAGCCAGCTTGAACTTCTGGAAGTTCACAGTTCACATATTGCTGAAGCCTGGCTTGGAGAATTTTGAGCATTACTTTACTAGTGTGTGAGATGAGTGTACTTGAGCGGTCATTTGAGCATTGTTTGGCACTGCCTTTCTTTGGGATTGGAATGAAAACTGACCTTTTCCAGTCCTGTGGCCACTGTTGAGTTTTCCAAATTTGTTAGCATATTGAGTGCAGCACTTCCGCAGCATCATCTTTGAGGATTTGAAATAGCTCAACTGGAATCCCATCACCTCCACTGGCTTTGTACATAGTGATGCTTCCTAAGGCCCATTTGACTTCGAATTCCAGGATGTCTGGCTCTGGGTCACTTACCACACCATCTTGATTGTCTGGGTCGTTAAGATCTTTTTTGTATAGTTCTGTGTATTCTTGCCACCTCTTCTTAATATCTTCTGCTTCTGTCAGGTCCATACCATTTCTGTCCTTTATTGAGCCCATCCTTGCATGAAACATTCCCTTGGTATCTCTGATTTTCTTGAAGAGATCTCTAGTCTTACCCATCCTATTGTTTTCCTTTTTTTGTGTGTGTGTTGATCGCTGAGGAAGGCTTTCTTCTCTCTCCTTGATATCCTTTGGAACTCTGCATTCAAATGGGTATATCTTTCCTTTTCTCCTTTGCTTTTCACTTCCCTTCTTTTCACAGCTATTTGTAAGGCCTCCTCAGACAGCCATTTTGCTTTTTTGCATTTCTTTTTCTTGGGGATGGTCTTGATTCCTGTGTCCGGTACAGTGTCACACACCTCTGTCCATAGTTATCAGGCACTCTGTCTATCAGATCTAGTCCCTTAAATCTGTTTCTCACTTCCACTGTATAGTCATAAGGGGTTTGATTCATGTCATACCTGAATGGTCCAGTGGTTTTCTCCCCTTTCATCAATTTCAGTCTGAATTTGGCAATAAGGAGTTCATGATCTGAGCCACAGTCAGCTCCTGGTCTTGTTTTTGCTGACTGTATAGAGCGTCTCCATCTTTGGCTGCAAAGAATATGATCAATCTGATTTCGGTGTTGACCATCTGGTGATGTCTGTGTGTAGAGTCTTCTCTTGTGTTGTTGCAAAAGGGTGATTGCTATGACCAGTGCATTCTCTTGGCAGAACTCTGTTAGCCTTTGCCCTGCTTCATTCTGTACTCCAAGGCCAAATTTGCCTGTTACTCCAGGTGTTTCTTGACTTCCTACTTTTGCATTCCAGTCCCCTATAATGAAAAGGGCATCTTTTTTGGGTGTTATTTCTAGAAGGTCTTGTAGGTCTTCATAGTACTGTTCAACTTCAGCTTCTTTGGCGTTACTGGTCCGGCCATAGACTTGGACTACTGTGATATTGAATGGTTTGCCTCAGAAACGAACAGAGATCATTCTGTCATTTTTGAGATTGCATCCAAGTACTGCATTTTGGACTCTTTTGTTGACTATGATGGCTACTCCATTTCTTCTAAGGGATTCCTGCCCACAGTAGTAGATATAATGGTCATCTGAGTTAAATTCACTGATTCCAGTCCATCTTAGTTTGCTGATTCCTAGAATGTCGGTGTTCACTCTTGTCATCTCCTGTTTGACCACTTCTAGTTTACCTTGATTCATGGACCTGACATTCCAGGTTCCTATGCAATATTGCTCTTTACAGCATCAAACCTTGCTTCTATCACCAGTCCCATCCACAACTGGGTGTTGTTTTTGCTTTGGCTCCATCCCTTCCTTCCTTCCTTCATTCATTCATTCTTCATTCTTTCATCCCGTTTCTTTCTCCACTGATCTCCAGTAGCATATTGGGCACCTACCGACCTGGGGAGTTCATCTTTCAGTGTCCTATCTTTTTGCCTTTTCATACTGTTCATGGGGTTATCAAGGCAAGAATAGTGAAGTGATTTGCCATTTCCTTCTCCAGTGGACCACATTCTGTCAGACCTCTCCACCGTTTTAATTTGCAAAGATCTGTTATACTTGTTTTCTGCTTATGCCTGTGCTGGAATTAGTATCATATTAAAGAAAGAGAACAGTGGTTTATCTGCTTTTCAGAATATATTGTTT